CAATTCAACCATATTATTTGTTCTAATGCATATTTTATGTTTAATACCAATTCAACCATATTATTTGTTCTAATGCATATTTTATGTTTAATACCAATTCAACCATATTATTTGTTCTAATGCATATTTTATGTTTAATACCAATTCAACCATATTATTTGTTCTAGTGCATATTTTATGTTTAATACCAATTTAACCATAATTATTTGTTCTAGTGCATATTTTATGTTTAATACCAATTCAACCATCTTATTTGTTCTAGTGCATATTTTATGTTTAATACCAATTCAACCATCTTATTTGTTCTAATGCATATTTTATGTTTAATACCAATTCAACCATATTATTTGTTCTAGTGCATATCTTATGTTTAATACCAATTCAACCATAATTATTTGTTCTAGTGCATATTTTATGTTTAATACCAATTCAACCATATTTGTTCTAGTGCATATTTTATGTTTAATACCAATTCAACCATATTATTTGTTCTAGTGCATATTTTATGTTTAATACCAATTCAACCATAATTATTTGTTCTAGTGCACAAAAGGAGCTCTTATGTATATTGTTTTGTTGGTGTGTATGGTTTTTTATAATAGAACAACTTTTATTTAAGTAATTGGAATTATACAACACATTAGGTTGAATTTTCCATGTGAGTGACATTTTAATTCTGTCAAACAGTTACTGTTACCAAGATAAAAAAAAAATCTTGCACTACAGATGAAACTCCTGATGTTTAACACCGTCTTTAAATTCCCGGCTATCGAACGAACATTTGAACACAACCATTTTTATTATAATACCTTGTTACAGGCTATGGCAGACGATGCACAAGACCTTTGGAACAAAATGGCTAACCGAAGTGATCAAGACTTGTACATCACACATGATGGTTATCTAAAGCTGTACCAACTCGCTCATCCTCGGCTGGAAGGTTATGACTGCATTTTAATTGATGAGGCTCAAGACTGTAATGCTGGTTAGTATATTAATTTATCCACTTGTTCAAAAAACAAAATATCTTCAACATGTTGTGATTCAAAATTTTGTCTATTAATTCTGTACTTGTCATAATTTATTTTCATTTTCAGCATTTTATACATAGTTTAATAATTTTAATACCAGATGGCAGTACAAGTTGATAAGAGGTAAGAATCTATTGGAAATACATTTTCAGTTCAGAAAAATGTTAACTTCTGAAGTGAAAAATTCAAAATTCAGGTGTGTCATGTGACCCAGAAAAATAAAGTTAGAGTTGTTTTTTTCTTTTTGAAACTAATAAGTTAGTAAGTAATATAAAAATTTTAATTATAAACTATATTTTCGTGCCAAGTTTATTGCTAGACCTTGCTACTAAAGTAATGAAATTTAAGTAAATTTCGATTGTAACAGGGTAAAAGGTCATTTTGACCTGGTCTTATAGAAGAGTTAATCAGAATCAGACAAATTTTTATCATTTTCTTCTTCCCTAACACTCTACATCTTTAACTATGTGGCTGTAATTATGTCTTTTGAGCTGATTGATTAATGGCCTCTTTAGGCTCAATGTTCAATGAATGAAACATCCAGTTGTATTCTGAGCAAAGTAGATATTCTCAATTTTCTCATAGCTGGAAAAACAATGTTCACATTTGGCACTAGACACAGGGAGTGTTTAGAATATGTCTCTGGTATTTCAGGTGGTCTTCTTGCTGACAAGTTTAAAACAAAATTTCTTCTTTCAAAGAGCTCCGTTGACTTCAGTTACACCTTTATCAAAAACAGGTTCATCAGTTATTGAACTAACTGAATCACTAAATCAGAATAGAAGTAAAAATGTTTGCATTATTGAATGGCTTATAATCCATAATTATGATTCCACCACTTTCAGATAGCAGTCAACTTCCCAGTTCTAAAACAGATTCCACAACTCCTAAAATCAGTAACACTATTTTCACTATATCTATTTCTGATACATGGTAATAATGAATCAGTTTTTCCTGATCATGACTCTGCTCTTATTTCCTGATTTCATGAAATCTCTTGTTGCAATCAAAGTCCGCATCCTGATCAATAAAAGGATCAAAGTCTGCATCCTGATTCGCAAAAAAAGGAAAGATTCATCAAACCAAAGAACCTTCAAATATTATATGTGTAAACTTAGGTGAATCTGGTTTTATACATTATCTGGTTTTATACGTTATCTGGTTTTATACGTTATCTGGTTTTATACGTTATCTGGTTTTATACATTATATGGTTTTATACGTTACCTGGTTTTATACATTATCTGGTTTTATGCATTATCTGGTTTTATGCATTATCTGGTTTTATACATTATCTGGTTTTATGCATTATCTGGTTTTATACATTATCTGGTTTTATGCATTATTTGGTTTTATACGTTATTTGGTTTTATACATTATTTGGTTTTATACATTACCTGGTTTTATGCATTATCTGGTTTTATACATTACCTGGTTTTATACGTTATCTGGTTGTATGCGTTATTCTTTGAATATAGATAGTCAGTGAAACTTTACCCAGCAGATGTTAATTTGAAAAATAGGAGGAAGAATTCAGAAAGTCACTTTCTGGGCACCAAAACTTATGATCAGTTTTTTTTTCAATTTTGAATGTTTGTTGTAACAGGTAAAACAACATCTTATTAAATATGATGCATTATGTGGACCCCCACCAGTAGTGAACAGTATAAAAGCACGTCAGTAACTTCAGGGTTACCTGTCTCAAAACAATAGGGATAAACACTGGCTATGCTTTAATCTTGTATTGAAAGGAATATGTAGTGTGATGACTGTAGATTGCTTACTTGAATCTTTGTGAATTATTGATGATGAAATATTCTTCATCTGTATTAAAGGGAAGATGGTGAAATGAGATCTCTAGCATTAGTTGTAAAATCTGTGCTGCTATTGACTTCCTTTTCTTTAGCCATGTTGGACTTGCTCCTCTCACAGCCATGTCCTAAAATCCTAGTGGGTGATCCTAATCAGCAGATCTATGCCTTCCGTGGAGCCGTGAATGCACTGAGTTCTGTCCAGAGTTCCCAAATGTTCTATCTCACTAAGGTAAGGATCAGAAACTGGAACATTCTCTTGATTAGCCATTCAGTGTTTTTATTAAAACAATTGAGTTACAACACATTTACCTTTATTCTCTCAGTGTTACACGCTAATGTGTTTTAATTAACCAACATGCAGTAAAATTTGTTGCCAAGTAATTGTTAGTAGTTCATTTTTCTTTGTATGTGACTTGATCAACGGGTCATTTTGAAGTCGTATGTCTAATAACACCTATTTCAGTCCTTTCGGTTTGGTCCAGAGATAAGCTATGTGGCTTCCTGTGCTCTAGAAGTCTTGAAGAAGATTCACCATAAAACTATAGTTGGAGGCACACAAGAAGGTAGGTGAGAAGATAATAATGATTGAAGTTGTGTGTGTAAACCAGGCTTGTCATTCTGCATTTCAGTAGTGTTTGAAGGTGACAACGGTACTTTAGTAGTGCTTGAAGATGACAATGGTACTTTAGTAGTGCTTGAAGGTGACAACGGTACTTTAGTAATGCTTGAAAGTGACAACGGTACTTTAGTAATGTTTGAAGATGACAACGGTACTTTAGTAATGCTTGAAGATGACAACGGTACTTTAGTAGTGCTTGAAGGTGACAACGGTACTTTAGTAATGCTTGAAGATGACAACGGTACTTTAGTAGTGCTTGAAGGTGACAACGGTACTTTAGTAGTGCTTGAAGGTGACAACGGTACTTTAGTAA